ATGATTTCATGAAAGAGTGGAAAGAGACTGAGATGAAAATAATATTGCTTAGAGAGGTTGTAGATATTCAAAACACAACCGGACAAGGTCCTGGGCAACGTGTTTTAATTGGACCTGCTTTGAGCAGGAGGTTGGACTAGAGACCTCTGGACGTCCATTCCCACCTACATGATTCTGTGGTCCTGTGAACAGAGTATTAGGTTTTCTGCACAAGCTCTAGCCTATTTCTGTTCAGTTCCCAGTTTGATATGTCAAATGCTGAAAGCTTTATAATATGGTGCTAGGGTCTTTGGCTTTTCTTGTTAGCATTCAGTAGTGTACCTTGTCTATGTCTTCTATTAATCACTTGCAGAATTTTGTAACAGATGTGTATCGCTGTTCGGCATCGGTAGAATTTCATTTTAGGAGAAACCCATGGAGCATAAGGGATAGACTCTGAGCCAATGAAAATTTTGTCTGAATAAAGAAATTGGACTCACCCTCTCCACATTTAATGTATGTAATAAATACATTTCCTTTGAAGTGTTTCAGTGCCTCTAAAGATATGGTTTGGTTATAGAAGTTTCAGTATTAGTAAAGTCCTCTCTCCAAACAGGCACGATGTTCTAAATAGTTTTCTTATTAGAGAAAAATAAAATAAGACTAAATTATTCAGGTGTTGGCTTAAGAAGACAGATCACATAATGCAATCAGTACTGCATGCTCTGCAATAAAGCAGCAGAGGTCCTCCTTGTGCGGCAGAGATATCTGGAATTTTTCAGAAAGAATATAATGCAACATTAGCTGCATTTCTATAATACTTTTCATACTCAAGGTATCATGGAATACTTTATAGTCATTGAACATCTTCAAACTACTACCAGACCAATAAGTGAATAAATAAATAAAAGATGCAGAGCGTACAGAGAACTTTAGTCTCTGCACAGGAGACGATTTTAGGACAGCTTTAGTGAAGAAAGTGGAAAACGGAGGTCATTTATAAAATGATGATAGCAAAAATACATTTGAATGCTATGCAGACTATCTAAGATTTTATAACGGAATATAAGACATACTACATACCGTATATTTTCTAAAAATCTCTGACTCTCTTACAAATAACTCATTCAGCTTCTTAGCACATTTGAACCTAGTAGCTGTTATGGTATCTATTTTACTAACACGTAGAAGGAGGTATTAAGAGACAGTAACAAGTTCTGCACCAATTCTGCTGATGACAATAGAGTTGTGGTAAGGTGTGAATCAGGGTAGGCTGTTGCCATTGATAACTGATCCAAAGTCACTCAGGTCTGACAGCCCTGGGGCACTCTAACCATTAGGAGACATCTTTTCCTATGCACTCATGGAATTTTGGAGATATGGGCTAGTTTACTCATGCAAGCTGTCATGCTGAACTCAGAAAAATAGATCAGGAAAGATCAAGAAAGCTCATATGAGTAAGATGAGCAGGACTTGATCTGTATCGTTGTAGCTATGGCTAAGTTATGTCATGGCAGGCTAATTTTAAATTACATATTTCTAAGAGAATAGCAGTGGAATGATATTTTATTTACTTCCATGAAATGTGGATAACCTTTGAACTTAAGATCAAGTATAGATATTGTCCTCATGGTTTTGGCATTAAAATACATTTCTTGAGTATTTATTGAAAACTCCAGATGATGGAGTTTGCTAGAGCTGAGCAAAAGCACACTCCCTGGTCATGATGCTTGTAGCCTATTTACTAAACAGTTCATAGCTAGCATTATTTCTAGCACGTAGTTCTTTGAGTTACTATGAATGGACAAACCAACGTGAATAAGGGCTGGCTAGGCAGCCCTGTGGATGAAAAGTTGTATTGCAACAGGAAGCTGTTTACCTCACTCACAGAACTGCTACAGATCTATTCACGCATTTAATCATGTACTTGCAACAAGAGAAATTGTATATGCATTGATTTCACACAACATTAGTAGTTAGCTGTCTATAAGACACTGGAAATTCCCTTGTCCCACGTTTTTCCATAGATAAAGAATTTATGATTATGTTTAACTTACGTTATTCTCTAAATACTATTCCCTTTGACTTTCCTTTTCTTATTAGTATGTACAATTCTTACCCCCCTTGCTTTGCTCTTTTTTTCTTCTTTAACCTGAGTAGCACTTCAGAGCAGAACATTCATTTTCAGAAGACTCAGACAGAACACAAGCTTTCAGTTCTGCCAATGTGCAGATTATAAATGGATTTATGAAATTAAAGGGCTGTATTTGAAAATGTTCAGTTATTTTGTAAAATCTGCCAAGTTTATTGCTTCCTTAAACATTCTTTGAAATTATGAGCATGTTATTGCTCCTCTATGTAGCTATTTTCCTGCCAAGTAGTAAGGGATTTCTGTCCACTAACCTAAGACAAAGGTTTAACAAAAGTTTAATTACAGAAGCGTCATACTGATTCACTCAGATACACCTTCTTTTAGATATGACAGAAAGGATGGGAGAGATAACCCAGCCTTTGCCTTTAACTATATTTTCAGCTATATGAATTTCAAGCAGTGTTTGCTAGCACATTGTACTTGCTCATGGTCAGTTACTAGTTAAGGTGCATGCTGTTCAAATTGTTGCATTTCCAGAAGGGAGTTTAAGCTGTTTGGTTTTTAACATATGAAGTCTCTCCTGAGTATTTCACACTTAGGTAGGGAAAACAAAGTGACTCTGTAAGGTACTATAGGATTCCCCTGGGACCTGCAGAATGCAATAGCATGTGATTCACTTATTCTCATCTTTGATGATTTTTTGCACAAAGGACATGCTTTTGTTGTATAGTGTGTGGTTGATATCAGCAGGGAAGCAATCCCATTGCCAAAGATGAATGCTAGGTCAGGCCTTGTCAATGCAGATGAAAATTTGCAATTAGTATTCTGTATCTTGCTCCTAATGAACCATCTAATCAGGAGGTTTCTGTCTGTACCAATCATCTTCATATGAGTGTCAAGGTTACAGGAGTGCTTGACAAAATGAGGCAAATGTGTTTTTACAAAAGCATTGAAATATTAAATGCTAAATGGGTTGTAAATTTACTTTTTACCTCTATGCATTCCACTTCAGCAAAGTAATGATGTGCTAACAGACTTGCATATCTTCTTCTAAATCACTTCTTTCTTTCTTTCAGAGTGAGGTAATTCAAACAACAAAACAGAAAGTCTTAAAACTGTTAAGTACTGGAATTACACTGAAAAACCCCTCTGTCGCAAAGGAGATAATTAGATAGGCAAGCAATATTTTCAAAGGTATTTGGAAGAGATTTGAGCTAATATGTTACATAGTTTTACCTGATCAATGCTAAATGTTTTCAAAAGGAATTCAAACTCGAACCACATCAGGCAACTGCATAGAGGAGGAGAAAAAGGAAGAATCAGGAAGATAGGATTTTCATCAATAACCAAAACCACTTGATTTTAACACAAACTGTACTTGTAAACACCGTGCTTTAGGTAAATACTGTGATTATCCCATGGACAGGACAGTATGGCAAATATCATATGGAGAGGTTTGGAAGGAGATGCTTATAAGAATTTTAGGTTTAGGAAATATCCTTTGTTGAGAATACTGAGGAACTACTTGCTTTCCTAGGCGGAGAACAGAGATGGGGGCCAGGAAACCAATTATTTTCCTAGTTCTGCCTCACTCTCCTTACAGGTGAGGCAAGCCGTATTTGTTTTCAACAATAAATCATTCTGAGGCCCTGCAATGTGCAATGGAAATGCAACACAGTACTCATCAAAAAGTAATACTTGAAACAGGAAAATAGAGAAGCTTCTATAATTTTTCCTGATCTCTAATATCCCTTATAATTTTTCCCTTTTCCTTATTCTGCCTTCATATTGGCTATTTGTGACAAGATTTTAAAAAGCATCTGATGATTTGGGGCTGTTTAATTTGTGGGTTTCCAGTTGCAGGACATGACTTTCAGAAAGCGCGAAGCAAAAATTCCCTGCAGGCGTCTCTGAAGTGTCTCAGCATGGGTCCTGGCAACTACTAAATTCCTGATGGAAATCTTGGCCTCTGTGTTAAAGTACTGGATAATATTACAGGACCTGGAACAATAGATAATGCTAAGTGCCCCAAAGGGATATCAGGTTCATGTTAAGTATTGGTTAAGACAGCATTCATCTTAATGCCAATGCATTTCGTATATGCCACAATTTTTTACCAAACTAAAATCTGAAAGATTGTCAGTTTGAATTATTTTGTTCACAAGGTAAAATGATGTATTCTGGCTTCCAAACTTGTGTTGATTGAGAATATTGCACACCTATTTTATTTGCTGGGGGTGATACTGACTTTAGTGCAGGTGCCATATATGATGAGATGATACCACTGTGTTCCCATGCCAGTAAAAGGAAAATATCCTCTTGATGGAGATGGCATTGCTTAATCTCTAAGTGCCATGTGAGGAGGGGGAAACAGTGGATGTTACTGTTATAGTTGATTTATACCGTGGTAGTATACAGGGGCCCCTTAAATCACCAAGCAGTTTGTTGCTGAATTCAGTGGCTTAAATGCATCTTAAATTTTGGAGGGGAGCATGCTCGGATCTTTGCACATGGCTTAATTCCACACAATGCTTTCTATTTTGTTGAGTATCACTGGGGTTTTTTTTAGTAAAGCACGGCATTTTACAGCAACTTCCTCCAATGCTATGAAAGCATGGGTGAAGATGATTGTTGTACATAGGCAGCTGCTGAGAAGTCTTTTATTTTGTACTAACATTTGAACTTTAGCACCTGTGTTCACCAAACTCTATTTGGCAGGCCTCAGACTTCTAAATCTGATCCTAAGCCCCTGAGTTACTTGGGTACCATTAAAAAATGGGATAGCTAAGCTAGTATTTCTAAGGTAGTTACAGCTATGCTGGTTGTGGTTCACCGATAGCGGCAATCACGATCACAGATGTATCATTTTGATATCAGAAACTACATCTTTAATACCTTGATTATACCCAGGCTGTTTTGTTCTATCCAGAAGCAGCTATAAAAATAGAGAGGTTAACAGCAGCGGACTATTGTGAAGAAGTCGTCACAACTGCCACCATCTGAAGGCCTTTATGTGCTCCAGGGGGTCCTCATGCCTAGCAGGGTAAGATTTCCTCACAGCTTTCAACTGGGCTCAGAACTGAGGGAACTAGGGGGGAAAAGGACCATTTGTGGCCTCTTTGGCACGTATATAACATGTATGGCATTATGTGAGAACAACTCATGTATTCAAAGAACAGCAAAGGCTAAGCACTTTCAAAAATGTATCCCTGAACGTTGCTAAATTGTAGAAAAGAAATGTGGTCTTAAGACACAGGCTATGCTTGAACAGCTCACAGTTTTCTTAAATAAGATTAATCAGAGTGAGTTAAACAGAATCTGGCAGCCTCTGTCTACTGAAGAGTGGATCAAACACAAATCATGTTAACCTTGACCACCCCTACTCTTGCAGCAGCAAAGTCAGACTTCCATATGAATTTAATGAAATGGATTAATATAACATGGCCTTATATAACACTCTCTTCAATAAGATCAGAAATCAGTAACCCAAAGTAAATCATTATATTAAATTTCATTTTGCCATGATAATCACAGTCTACTAACTGATCAAGAAAGGAAACTGATTTTCTGAAGACTGTGCATGCAGAACTTACTGTATATGCTGTTTATTACATCAGGAGCTCTAGAAACAACGAAACTAAAAGACTGCACTCTTTGCAGTCACTTAATACGATTCTGTAAGAATCTGGCATTTATTTAGGACTGTATCTTTCTATGCATCTGAAGCCCCACTGATTCTGAAACTAGGTGTTGCGTTTGTAAGTCAAGACAGGAAAGTAATATTTATATCTGGCCAAACTTATGCAAATCTGACAAGTCTCTGGCAATGATAAGAGAAAAATTTATCTACTCAAATCTATCATGAACATAAAGTAAGCACAATTGTTTCAGACTGCATGACAACTGCAACTGTGAGAACTGTTTCTTGAAAACTGAGTAGGAATATGAGGTGAGATGGTAGTCCATTTTAACAATCTAGTCTTTAAAGTGGAGCTGACCAGGAATTTTTGGAGCCTTTTAGAAGGAAAAAGGCTATTTATTTTTTAACTACCTTTTATTTCAAAATTGTTGGAAAATTGTTTTGACAATTTTAAATTAAAAAATATAACCTTCTAGCTTGAAATTATTTTTCCTTTGGAAAAGTAAGGTAATTTTTCAAGTGTTTTTAAAAGGCTGAAACCTAAATTAAGATTCATCCAACCAAATCTTTCAACTAATCCAAGGCACATTTTGTATAAAATATTTTCAAGGTAATAAACAAATCTTAAAGATTTCAATCTTTGGTTTGGTTTGGCAAAAGGAAAGTATTTTCAGAGGAGAGAAAAACATTCTCACTCCCAGATTCATTTTGAAGTCTCTTCTCCTTACCTTGATTCAAATAAAATGTACTAGTGTAAGTAGAATTTAAAAATGCTCATACAAGGAAAGGCAATAGCAGATTTTCAGTATAGATAGGCATCCAAGCATCTGTTAGCCCTTTCACCACTACACTGAACAGTCTCAGAGCATCCACAGTTGTTCTGCCTGAGATCAGTGAAGTTGCATTACTGTTAATGAATGGAAATGTTTCACAAAATCCTATTGTAGAAGAAGATATGAGTGAAAATAATTACTCCAAAAGGAAAGTCAGCCTTTCGTTTAGAAGCGTTGCACGTGCTGTATGACTCTTCCCTAATAAAATTAATTTAAGAACTGATCTCCCCTTCAGCTATTTTTACTGAAAAAGTATACACCTTTCCAAAATGACATAATATTAATCTTGGTAAAATAACTAAACACAGCAATGGACCCTGGTACAGCTGACGATAACCTAAGAAATCACTGAAATAGGTTTAGCTCCAGCAAGGCCCCAGGCAGCTAGTTGTTTTTGTTCATTTGTTTTTAATTCAAGGAGGTGAGATGATTGTTACAGGATTATTCCAGTGCTACGCTTTGGAATGACTACAGAAGACATAATCTTGGTATTGCATTTATACTGACATTTTACTAGCTCAGTTGACATTTAATTGCTATTATGGTTTTTATTTCGGTATGTATTAGTTTTAAATAACTTCTCTGTAAAGATTTCTTGTACAAGCTCCTCTGCTGGCCATTTATGCATACTGCATCACTAGCTAGGCAGAATTAACTCTGAATTTTTGGTTATTTTAGTTAAACACCTTTCTTCCATGCTGTGCACTTGCACAATCCATATTCTAACTACCACTTTTTCTGACTGCAAGCAAATTTGTCTTGCCTCACATCTTTAATAGCAGCATTAAAGCATAATTAATTTCCTTGTAATCTGCCTCGATATCAGAATCTAATTATATTTTCTTGTGAAAATTTTGTAATTACCATTCAAATATAATTAAGAAATCAGATAATGAGTGTCACCCAAGATAAAAGATGGTCTTGAAATTCTCACTTGTGCTGTAGTGATGCTTCAGAAATAGATATAATGCTCCTGCTTTCATTATGCCGTGTTTTTTTCTTGTACATAGCAGAGTAATACAAGACATAAGCTTCACAACTGCAGCCTTTCCACCTGATTGTAAGTAAACTGGCAATGCATCATCAAGTATGTAAATTGTGCTCAGACTAACGAACAATGACAGGAAAAAAATGCTCATATAACCCTGAAACATCCTACAGCTTTTACAAGAGGGTGTCTTTGGGAAAAAAAAGTTATTGTAAAAAATAAATAAATGTACCTATTAACTATATAATTTAAAAGAAATAACACCCACAAATTATATGGATAGTGATTAAGGACAGCACAGAATAGCATTTCGATCTCCTCTGCTTTGAAACACCATGCCTTTCAAACAGAGAGATGAATTTTGATTGCCTAACAACTGTAACCATGTGTAGGTTCATCACAATGGAAAGAAGAAGAGCTCTGAAAAGCCTTGATAAAAAATACTGAGCTGGTAGGCCTATCTGACTGCATTTTACTTCTTGCTGTTGTTATAACAGCAAGAATGCTATCAGATTAAAGGTTTAAAAGGTGTTGGTAATTTGTCAGCTTCATGTGGTCGTCTTCTAAAAAATACCATTTCTGGCTTCCTAATTTTTTATACCATTCAGAAACTTCTCTGTATAATACTGTGTTTATAAAACCAACATGTCAGTCTGTGTTTGTTTCTTGTAAGCAAAAAATCCTGAGCACAATGTACACAAACATTTCTGTAAACATATACATATATATATCTGCATTTTAACCTATTAGCCAAACTCTATTTTCTTCTGGGCAATGTAAGTGTTCCAGAAGCACCTGACTATCTGTTACATCCAGTTTAAGTTGCCATAAATTGGCTGTGATAGCATAACAAAGGTGCTAAGTTATGTTATCATATAGCAAAGACCTTTTCTGACTCTGCAAAGGAATTCAGGTATGTAGAAGTGTATAAAAGATCTGTATTGTGGAAAGGAATAAGGAAATGGCTTTCTGGTAACAAAAGTTCTGTTTTACATGTAATTCAAGAAGGTGTTTATGTCCATGCATAAATAATCTAGTCGCATTACTCTATACTCTAAACAAGCTACACTGAGTAACAGATGAATGGTAACTTAGTTCAGGTGGAACTTTGTTTTAACATAGATGGACTGCTTATAGTATTAAAGAAGTCCCTAAGTAGGCCTAATTACCCTAAGCTTGGTAATTCAAAAAGTGAGCTAGCCAGGTGAGTACCTCTACCTTGTATCATCCTGAGCAATGCATTCCTTAAGACTAGGGAGGGCCATGACTAGGCACTAAACTGAACAAGAATTGACCTTGGCAGACACTGAAGTGCCTTCAGCTTTGCCAAATCCTTACAGTGAATTACCCAACTTCTCAGTAGATCTGTCTAATACTATGTCAAATGTGCTCTTAAGTTTCAAAGTAATGTAAGAGTTGAAAACTCTCTGTCCTTGTAAGGGTACTAGATAAAATGCCTACGTCCTTAAGTATCAATACAAAGCCTTCACCTGAGGCCTCTCATAACAGAACTCCTAATGTTCATGTCTTCTTTTTATGCAAAATGCAACTACTTTTCTTAGGGGGAAAAAACAGTGAATGTCTGTGGAAAGGCTGGAGAGAGAGAGACTAGAAAGGCTCTTGTATCCTGTGACCCAACAAATAGAACCAGGTCTGACTGTAATAAAACTCCAATTACCTAACTCTAAGGGAGGATAGCTGGCATTTCTCTCTACCCAATGATTTAATTGGGCCTGTCAGCCAGAGATAATTGGTTTCTGGTTGACTGAAAAAAGTGACAATGACATCAACTCTCTGCTACCCTTCATTATTGAAATTCTTGCTTATTTTAACAGGGCTTGAGCACACAGTGCACTCCTGTAGTATTTACAGGTCTCTTGTGCAGTGCAGTGGAAATGCAGCAATGTAAGACAAAGAGAAACCATTTCAAGCTGTTTATCCCATGTGTTTTCAGAACAGAAGGATTTTTGAGAGCCAAGATTATATCTGTACAGGAAAGTCTGGTTTTGCTTTTTTTTTTTTTAACCAGAAATGTTATAATATTGTTGCAGTCATGACAGTCTACGGCTATAAATGAAGCAAGGTTTACAGGGAGAGGCAACATCTTTTATTAATCCAACTGATATAGCTGGAAAAATAACGATTTTGGGCACATGAACCCTTCTTCAGGTCTTGTCTCAAGGAGGATTTTTGGCCCAAAGCTTGTCTGTTTTTTCCACATATGTCATCTGAACTAATAAAAGATATTGTATTTCTCCCTAAGTCTTGCCTTGATTATAGCAGAATGCTTCTTTGATACTAATGGTCTAGATCATAAAAGGTTTAATTCTCCCTGTTGAAAGCGCAGTCCAAAAGAACAGAAATTGGTGTAAATCCCTGTTTCTTCTTTACACAACTTCAGGCAAGGGGTGTAGCCTTAATTTTCAGTGATTGTGTAACACTGCTTGAGATTTTACATCAGCAGAGAGGAAGACAAGGTACTTCTTCCACTATGAATCTCCTCCTTCATTCAGCTTTCGGCTTACCCCCTCCCTTCCCATAGGCTGCAGAACACTAGTGAAACAGGTGGAGCAAGGCATAGATGACAGCACAACAAGCACTGGCAGGAATGTATTAGGAGGGGCTTCTCCAGCTGGTATATTTGCAAAGTGCAAAGGGAATGCAGGGCACCCAAGAGTCTACCTATGGTTTTGAATCCAGTGGTTTAGCATTCAGTGTTCCAACAGGTTGACATTAGGTTATCTCAGTTCTGCAGTTCTTTATTTTTATTCAATCCATACTAGCTGACAGCACACACAAGGGGACAAAGATCCTCTCTTCAGCAGAAACTGGAGAGAGCCCAAGTAGAAGTACTGTGTTTGTCCTTCCCTGGGTTACACTTCTTGGATGGAGTGAGGTAGGCCAATACAGTGAGACTGAATCTGACCTGCTTCTCTACACATTTCAGTTGCACTTTAGAGCAGAGAGAAGAGGACACCCTTGATCAACAGGATTCAGGTGCCAAACATCTATAATAGTATGACAAGGCTCCAATTGGTTAGTGCTCCACAAAGAACTGAACTGAGGAACCGAGGTGGTCTTTTCATGGTCTATTTGAAAGAATTTCTTGGCAATGGTTCCAGCTATGGACTCTAATTCAACACTGTTGGCTAGAAAACTTGTTGAAGTCTCTAGACAATCTTATAACCCTTTCACTTCCCAGCCTAATTTAAAACACTTGTGTGTATGTGGTGACGGGCAATAAAAAACAGAAAAATCTCAGAACAGAGGAAGTACAGGCTTTGTGGGTTCCTCCCCAGATCCCTCCCATCACTGCTACATGGAAGAAAGCACACATCTGGGATACAAAATGTATGAATAACAACGTGGGTCATCTTTCAGCAGTGTCATACAGAGTGGCCAAAGTGAAGGTTGCTGTTTAGAAGGGGATCTGACTGTTTACAGGATTAGATTTATAGCTGGGTACTTACTGTGAACAGCTGTTACAGAATATTTGGGGAATAAATGGGACTTATTCTGCCAGATCCTTAAATTTGCATGCTATTTTTTTGTAACTTAATTTCTATTTGGTTGGCAGCTGCATGCTTACAATCAGAGATGATACTCTATCTGCTTATTGCCTACACTGTATTTGATTCAAAGATGTGTCATTTCTAGTTTTGTTATAACTTAGAAGTGAAAATTTTGAGCTGGAGAACAAGTATTTCAAGATGAAATCACCTTCTCCTCTGCATAAAGCTGTCTCTTCTTAATTTCCAATACTTCAAGAATGCTTGTTTAATAAATATATTATTAATACATTTATTATTTTCTTGGACACTATCTTAAGAGCTACATTTGTAAATTATGTAAGGTCTCATACAGATGAGCAAGTGCTTCTTTGCTTTGACTTTTGACAAGTGTTTAAAAATATTAGAAAATGGCTTTATTTTCAGGAATGTTGCATTTATTTTAATTTGGTGATAACTGCAAAGACAGCCACAGAGATTTTTACAATCTATAAATAACATCCCTCCGCAAACCACAGTACATAGGGTTAAAACAATTTATTACCTATTCTAAATGTTTAGGACAATTCTGGGAAGTGACAGTCAGCCACAGAAAATAGTGCTCTCCTTATTCACATTATGATTAGTATGACTAGGACAAATAACTCCGTGGATATTACACTACAAACGTTCAAACAGTTTATGCTGTTTCTCTTTACCTAACATAAAATCAACCCTCTTATCTGACCTATGCGACAGATATTCTAGTAACAGTGGTGATAAAAGTTAGCATGAGTAACTATAGGCACAATAAGGATAATTACAGTTAAATTTGGCCTGTACCACTTTAACTACAAAAGAATTAACTCTGAAAGAACCATAATGACCGGAGAGTTCAAGGGCATTTTGCTTCCAGTGGATAATTATTGTAGCAATGCCACCATGGTATGGATCATTTAGCATTGAATAATTTTTCTTTGAACTAAATCCTTCATGTGACATAAAACAGAAAGTAAGTCTTGGGCAAAAGGAAA